CCTGCAAAATTTCAAATTAGTATATAATGAGCATATACAATTTGAAAAGAAAACTATAATTATGATAAAGTATAACTGCTACTTATTTCTAAATTATTGACCATAAGTGATAAAAAGTATCGTCTATAATAAGTTATAATCATGAATTAAAGTGTAAAATCAAATAAATTTTAGGTATAGAATGGAATTAAACAATATGGTTTGACAATTTATAATTCTTTTAAATGAGATAATTTGATAATTAAGTGATACAATAAGAGAGAAAATTGTATATTTTATTTGAGACGGACAGAGTAGTAAAATATGAAGTAGACATCAATTAAGTGACACTTACAAGGAAAAGATGAGTAACGATATGAACAACATCTTTCCGGCACAATGTGATTGGGAGCTAAGGTGAAATAGGGAACCTCCAGCCTACAACCTTCAGAATAGACTCTCCACCATGAAAGCTCAAACCCATAAGCCAAGGCTTCGTAAATATCGATGAACGATGACTTATTGGTAATAGACGAGCGCGCGGACACCAAAAGCACCTTATCCACCGTGCAAGACTCTTCTAAATCCGACAAAGATAATTGATAAGGATCTCCAAGCACGACATAACTATAGAATCGGGAAGAATTTCCAAAATGGATGGTTTTTGTTGTGTTGCCAAAGAAAGGGGCTCTAACATAATTATTATTATTATCGTTCGCAATAGCGGACGACAAACAATGAATGAATGCTGCTTCTTTGTTTAAGGGGGTAGTTATTATATTGTTGTAGACGTCGTAGGAAACACCAAAATAGTATGATTGGCTACTACAGGAGGAGAGGTCTCCCGGCGTATTGGTATTGATATTGATGCAAGCAGGGTCGAATAGTCTTATCCGCTCTTGTTCATAATTGATACTTAGCACCAAAAGCGTCGTTGATGTGTATTGCCTCGTTGCAAAATCTTGTCTTTGGAAATTGAGAAGTGTCTGGTTATTATGGCAATCGAGCTGGAAATTGATGTGGTTGAATCCGCAATGGGAAGGATCAGTGCTGAGTCGAAAAGGGTAGCTTATGCGCGTGATGTTGCCGCAGGAAGAAGGAGGGCATTGGTGGAATTGGGATCGGGATGGAGTGACGTAAGTGACGAAAATTAGTTGCAAGACAACGAGGAAGAAGACATGAATTAGGAGGACAGACATTATGGTCTTATTAAGGTTTAGGGTTTATAAAGCTAGACTTCATACAATTAATCGAATCGTTGGATCAATATATAAGATTATTGAGTATGATCGAATCTACTTTGGGCATTGGTCACTTTTTATTATCACATATATGCATCTCAACACCTTAAAGTTGAGTTCTTTTCGTGGGTTTTCAACATATATTTTTATTATTCATATATTTTTTTTTTAAAAAAATATCAAATCAAACTATTATATTTTTTATACATATATATTATACTATAAATCTATTTCATATTTAAAATATCACGTCAAACGGCTATTTATATCACATTAAAAAATTATTTAAATTCAATTTGTTACTGCTAAAAATATTTTCAAACTCATGAAGTACACACACAAACAAATACACCCTAGTGGCCATGGAAAAACAGAAGCCACTTGCCAATCCATCATGATTGGACCAAGTCTTACTACGTGATAAAAAAGTATAAGAAATTGATTTTACAATATAAAATATATTATTTTTAATTAAATTTTTAATTTTTAATTTTTTAATAAATATTTAAAAAAAATAATTTATTTTTTATATGTTACAGCAAATTGTATAAAAAATATAAAATATATTTTTTAAAACATGATTCCAAAAAATTATTGCCAGCAACAAACCCTATATGTATATATATTATCATTATGAGCTCTTTAATTAATTATATATATATATATGTTAATTAAATTTGATTGTTTTATGTACTATAAATAAATAGTATATGTAATACTTTGAATAAACACTATATAATAAAAAATATAAAGATGTTTTTAATGTTATTTTTAGAAGCAGACTAATAGAGTATAATTTTCTTTTAAAAAGAATGATAAAAAAAGAAGAATTAAATATAATGCTTTTAGTAATTAAGAGAAAAATTATAAATAATGTGATCAATATTTCAAAATAAAATAAGCAAGTTATGAAAAATATTTTGATCTTTAGAAATTGTACTAGTCTATAGAATGATAAATAGTTATGAGAATTATTTTAAATATTCTGTATAAGTTATTATTAAATGTATTCACTACAAAAAAAAAATAGTATATTTGTAACGGAATTTTGTTACTAAAGTTCACGTAGCTAACGATAATTTCATTCCTAATTCCGTCTCTAATATCATTAGTAACGAAAAAAGTGGATTTAAAAACGAAAAAAATGTTGTTACAAAACTTATATATATATATATTTTTTTTTGTAGTGATTATGCAATATTAAGAGTTTATTTTTCAAATCAAAATTAATAGACATAAAAATTATTTATTCTTATAAATATCAAATTAAATTATATTTAAATAATAATTTAAATTCAAATCAAAAGTAAACAGATATTAAAGGTCATGTACCTCGTTATTTATTTATTTGAGAAAATAAAATTATTTCAAAATCACATTATATACTTTCGAGAATAGTTTAGATAATACGTTCTTACACTATATATCACACATACCCTGGCGCGCCCAGGTCCATTATAAATTTATGTTATATATATATATATATAATTTAATATATAAATAATTTATTTGATATATATAAATAAATAATTATTCTAGTTTGGTGGTATAGAGATTAGTTTTTAATATTGGGGCCTAAGTTTAAATCCTATCTGTCTAAAACATTAAAAAATGTTTTTTTATAACTATTTTTCATCTAAAAATCTTAGAAAATTATTTTATTTAATTATTTATATTTTATAATAAATAAGAATATATTCTTTATATATATTTTGGGACCCATATTTTTTTTTGGTCCAAACCTTTCGAAAGTCAAGACGGGTCCTGCACACATAAACTATTAATATCTCTTAATCTAAATATTTTTAGGTAAATTGATTTTTCTATGTATGGTATAGAAAATTGTGTCAAAATATAGGGAATAGTTACGGTGCTAATTTTTCAGCACTTATAATGTACAGAAACAGCACATGTTATTATTACACACAACACATGTGATGTTTATTCAGAATTATATGGGTGTTGTATAAAAGTATATTATGTACTAAAATCAAATGTCGTCTATTTTATGTGATTATAGTATGTGTTGTTAACTCATGTGTTGTATTTGTATTATATTAATATAAAAAATGTGCTGACAAAAATAATACGGTGCGTTGTTTGTCATTTTGACTTTGTAACTTTTTGCAATGAGTATTTGAACATTTTACTTTTTTTTACTTTTTACTTTTATAAGAGGTATTTTGTATTATTTGTAGTATTATTTTTTGGAATCATAATGAAAAAATAGTGTTACGCGAACAAAGTTATTGTGTTATAGATGATTATATTATTAAGGTAAAAAAAAATACCTATATTGAAGGAGTATTTATTAAGATATGGTTTATAAAATACTTCAATCAATATTTTCAAATTATATTTTCAATCAAATATATATATATATATATATTGCATTTAATTGTAATTCATTCGTAAACTAAATTAAGTCATTCCAATTAACCGAACTAAATTTCCAACCATAAACCAAATTGAAAATTAAAATATGTCAATGCTATGATTTTTCCTATATAATTCTTTATAGAAGTAATTAATATTACTAAAGCGCACTCGAAGGATTTTTATTGATCTATTAGTTTCTCTCCGTTCTAAACAAGGTTCAATATTTACTTTTGACACCGGTTTTTAGTAAGTAGTATTAAGTAGAATAATTCAAAAATTAGGTGATATGATGAGAGAGAAATATATATTTTATTTTTTTATTTGGATGATGTGACTGGATAAAATGTTGGGTAGAGATTAAATATAATTAATTATTTCCTATTTTGTAAATGTTGCAAGGTGTTTGTGACTGAGGGAATACAATTTTGACTTGCTGGCCTGAATGTCACGTCAATATAATAATAAAATGTGGGACAAATATTTATAATTCCTAATCAATTATTTTTCACTTCTTGACTTGATCCATGACTCTTGTAAGTCCACTCTAATTTATATTTATTAATTTACACAATTACTATTGTCCTATATTTCCTTTCCTAGACTTTGTAGTCAATTGAATAATATAAAAATATTAATAATAATAATAATAATAATACAATTTGAGAACTCTTTCTTCGATCTTAGATGTAAGTTTAACGTTATGATTTAGAATTTAATACGATGTTTTGAATAAAAATTTCGTTTGTGTTGATATACTTTTGATTTTTTTGGTATTATTAACTTTTTAAAAAATATCATATTAAATATACAATCTTTTACTATTTTCAAAAAATTTTAAAACTCAAAAACTTTCAAAATTTTTATCTGAAAGGACCCAGAATTTTTTGTGGAATATATTAGATAAATATATATATATATATATATTGTTAGTTTTTACAATAGCTAATAGTATATTGCAGCTATGTAGGCCTTAAGGGTTGAGTGTTTTTAATCATTTATATTTTGGGTTTTGATATGTTTTGAAGTGTAATAATTATTGGATATTGTTTTATAGATATATATATAATTGTATACGTATTATATTTTAAAAATTAAATAATTATTTTGTTAATAAAGCAGTCTGAGTCATGTTCGCAAACGTTTAATTAGAAGATTAAAATATAAGATTATTAATTAAAAAATAAATAAAATACTATATATATTATAAAATAAAAGAAAATATCATATCTATCAAATCAAAGCTCAAACGAACTTATTCGACCTGAACACAAACTTGAACAATAAAATTTCTTAACGAACCAAATTTAAACAATACAAATAAACTCGAATACTTAAGAAACGAGCACGAACCTTTGGTTACAAACATAACGAGCAAAAATATTTAAAATTATATTCGGCTCCTCTTGTTAAAAAACTCTAAATCTCATGCACAATTATATGAACTCACTTTTACATAATAACAACCTGCATGCTCTTACTATACTAATAGAACTCATAGCAATCACTGATTAACTCTAATGAGCACTTCAATCATTCTTAAAGCTGTAAACAAGCCGAAATGTTCAACTTTGAAGTAAATCTAAGTTGATGCAATCTACAAGATAAGTTTGAGTTCCATGATCATCCGTTTCGGCTTCTATCTCACGCGGCGCTGCAAATGGTCTTGAAGGCATCCGTGGTTCGGACTCACTTTCAAGCATTTCTATTACTTTGTTGATAGGAAGTCGATCGGATGGTCTCATTTGTATGCACCACATTGCGACTATCATAATCTTTTTCACCATTCTTTTTTCCTCTTCGCTTGCATCTTTCATCTCGATGTCCTTTCCTGCACATAGTTGGTCATATATCCACATCGGGAAGTAGATTTGAGTTGTTTCTTCAACCAAATGATTCGTGATTTTCCTTTTCCCTGCCATTTCCATCAACATCATTCCAAAGCTATATATATCGGCCTTGTAAGATATGCCGCCCATGTTTTTGTAGAACATCTCGGGTGCCATGTATCCCATTGTTCCTCTTGCGCCCGTTAAATTTATGAAGCTCTCGTTGGTGGGGTGCAATCTTGCAAGCCCGAAATCAGATATCTTTGGATTGAAATTCTCGTCGAGCAGTATGTTGTGAGGTTTGATGTCAAAGTGTAGGATTTGCATATCACAACCATGATGCAAATATCCAATTCCACGCGCCACTCCAAGTGCAATTTCAAACATTTTGTCGAGCGTCAAGGCGAGCACTCCTAAACTTTGTTCGTTGAAGATATATCTATCGAGGGAACCATTAGGAAGAAACTCATATACCAAAGCATACTTTGAGCGTTCGATACAAAACCCAACGAGATGCACTACATTGACATGGTGGATTCGCCCGATTGTGCCAACTTCATTGATGAATTCTTCGACCCCGGCTATGGTTTGGTCTAACATCTTTACCGCCACATAAAGACCACTTCGAAGCTTTCCTTTATAGACAGTTCCATAGCCTCCTTCACCCAATTTTTCGTTAAAATTGCTCGTCATTTTCTTGACATCCGAGTAACTGTATTTTATGGGTGCAAAATCATGTTGATCTTGTAAAAACTTTTCAATATTTGTATCATTGCATAAATGGCGTCTTCTCCATTTATGGATCACCAACCACAATAGAAGAGGAAATCCAACCATAAATCCAATTGCCAATCTTATAGACAAGATCCCACCTACATTATTTCGTGAAAATATATATATATATATGTATATCAAATAGGAAGAATTGTTTGCAATCTCATGGTTAATTTGTTTAGAAAAAAATGACAATCTTTCAACTTTTCAATATGTTTTTGCATTGCACAATTTACATTTAAATATATTTTTCCGTTTAAACTCATTCTATTCCCATCAATTGAGTGTATACATTTATTTAACATATAACATCAAAAATTATTTTATATAAAACAAAATTATAAAAGCCAAAGCAACTTGAAAATTCATTCAAATGCATAGATAATAACTTAAAACAAGGAAAAATTGCAAAAAATATCCTACACGTATACCTAATTATCACTTTTGTCTTGTATTTATCTCACATGTTTACAAAAGTCGTTATTTCTATCATTTGGCCGCTATGGCCGCACATGATTGTGCGTAAGGGCGCGTGGTGTGAATGTGACGCGCGGGCAAAGGACATAAATAGCGATTTTTATAAACATGTGGGATATATTTTGGCAGAGAGATAAATACATGACAAAAGTGATAATATGGTATAAGTGTAGGATATTTTTTGTAATTTTATCCTTAAAACATCGTTTAAACATTAGTTATAAAATGATTTTTTTTAAAAAATCCAATCTTACCAATTGTCCAAAGAACCGCAACCATTGTCCCTGTAAACAAAAATATATAAAATTAAAGTATAAAAATATATAAAAATTTTAGAAGAAAAGCTCACAAGATTCCAAAGTAGATTGGATCTGAGAAAAGTACATTCAAGTCTATGAACATAACTACCTGCAAAATTTCAAATTAGTATATAATGAGTATATACAATTTGAAAAGAAAACTACAATTATGATAAAGTATAACTGCTACTTATTTCTAAATTATTGACCATAAGTGATAAAAAGTATCGTCTATAATAAGTTATAATCATGAATTAAAGTGTAAAATCAAATAAATTTGAGGTATAGAATGGAATTAAATAATATGGTTTGACAATTTATAATTCTTTTAAATGAGATAATTTGATAATTAAGTGATACGATGAGAGAGAAAATTATATATTTTATTTGAGACGGACAGAGTAGTAACATATGCAGCAGACATCAATTAAGTGACACTTACAACGAGAAGTTGAGTAACCATATGAAAACCATCTTTCCATCACCATGTGATTGGGCACTAAGGTGAAATAGGGAACCACCAGCCAACAACCTTCATAATCGACTCTCGACCATGAAAGCTCAAACCCATAAGCCAAGGCCTTGTAAATATCGATGAACGATGATTTATTGGTAATAGATGAGCGCACGGACACCGAAAGCACCTTATCCACCGTGCAAGACTCTTCTAAATCCGACAAAGATAGATAAGGATCTCCAAGCACGACATAACTATAGAATCGGGAAGAATTTCCAAAATGGATGGTTTTTGTTGTGTTGCCAAAGAAAGGGGCTCTAACATAATTATTATTATTATTATTATCGTTCGCAATAGGGGACGACAAACAATGAATGAATGCTGCTTCTTTGTTTAACGGGACCGTATGTGTTCCATCGCTGTAGAAGCTGTAGGAATAACTAAAATAGTATGCTTGGATATTACAGGAGGAGAGGTCTCCGGGCGTATTGATATTGATATTATTATTGATGCAAGCGGGGTCGACTAGTCTTATCCGCTCTTGTTCATAATTGATACTTAGCACCAAAAGCGTCGTTGCAAAATCTTCTCCTTGGAAATTGAGAAGTGTCTGGTTATTATGGCAATCGAGCTGGAAATTGATGTGGTTGAATCCGCAATGGGAAGGATCAGTGCTGAGTCGAAAAGGGTAGCTTATGCGCGTGATGTTGCCGCAGGAAGAAGGAGGGCATTGGTGGAATTGGGATCGGGATGGAGTGACATAAGTGACGAAAATTAGTTGCAAGACAACAAGGAAGAAGACATGAATTAGGAGGACAGACATTATGGTCTACTTAAGGTTTAGGGTTTAGTTAGACTTCATATAAATAATCGAATATCGATCATTTTAATTATTACATGTATGTATATGTGTGTGTATATATATATATATATATCTATATTCAATGCAACCGAGGTCGCCATGGAAAAACAAGGACAGGACAGGACAGCAAACCAATCCTGATGAACTGGCCAAGTCATATATATTATCATTATCAGCTCTTTAATTAAATTTTTGATTGTTTTATGGAATAGATTATATGTGTGCTGAATTTTATTTCAAAATTATAATGTTGAATTACGTAAAAATAAATTAATATATGTGGTGTGAATCACTTGAGAAATGGACAATATCTACAAATGAGTTGAATTGTAAAGACTTGGTTAAAACATTTTCAAAACTATAGATGCATATATATATATATATTTTATGATATTTGTGTTAATATGTTTACTTGGGACAAGACCGGGAGGGATCTGAATTTAAATCTATAACATTACAGTCACAAGTTCATCCTTACATCACTATCCATTTCTTACTGGCTTTATTATTATTGTTAAATGAAATAATTGTCGGACATGATATTACATATGAAAATAGGTATAAAATTTGATTTATTTTTCATTTAAAATTTTGTAATTCGTTTTATTTATTTATTGTTGTTGTTGTTTTGTTTTATTGCAAGACCGAGTAAGTATCAATTTTGGAAGTCAATAAAATAAAAACAAATACATACGTGACATGACTCGACCTCAGCCTAATGTGTAATTTAGACTTGTCTATACATATTTTAGCGGAATGGTTACGGTGAAGAAAAACATGGCAGTTAGTAGCACGCTATGGCTTACCAGCATTCATTTGTTAAATATCCATCAATTATTAGTTTCATAATTAAGAACATTTTATGGTTCACTATTTCAATTTCTCAATTTTCATAATTTAGAGATTTTTAAAATTTTCTAATTTCTTTTTTTTTTTTCTTTTTTAAGTTTAATAACGGGAAAATACAATATAACATTGAATTTAATTGATTTTCCATTATGATAAATGTGTTTATTTCCTATAAATATTGTCTGCTGTTCCTATGCAGTATTGGAGCAGGAGGAAAAACCTCTTTGGCGCTGCCCCAAGAATATTTATTGATTTCTTTGAAGGGATGGTCACCGTTTGATTATTTGTAAATATCCAATTATTTAATATTCGAATCAAATCGAACAAATACTCGAAATTGTGATTCTCGTCAAACCAAAAGTTTTGATTAACCAATTTTTTGTTTAATCAAACATATTTGCAGTATCTACAAAAAATTTGAACCAAATCGAATCTAAAAACAGATACATGAAAAAATAATTTACAAAATTTACTAGTTACCTTAGGTGTCCACAAAAAGCTGAAATATTAATGCAAAGATAATTATATTAAAATTACAACAATACTTTTCAATCAAACAAAAAGAACCATTTAATTCAAATAATTCCAAACCTGCTGTCACTTTGATTGATGATAGAACACTGCGCTCTAGTAGTGGATGATGAAGCTTAAGGTGGAGCGGAACCTACAATGAACATATTAAGAATTAATATCAATATGAATTACTAAATTACATTTGAAACTTACTAGAAGTTTCTGCATCTATGGGAATTGAATTATGTACTCGTGATGGTGTGCCTACAATATATCACACACATTTATAAGTTTCAGGAAAAAAAAAAGTGGCGGAGCCTACAATATAACAAAAACACTTAAGACCTTAATGAAGTAAATAATAATGTTCATATTTAAACTTCTTCCTAAATACCTGAATCATCATTTAGATCTAGATGAGCGGGTGCATCATCACGATGGTCACCCTGACCCCCTCTAGCCCTAACAAGTCGGAAGGCCTCCTTAATCTAAGAACATGCTATGATTTCAAATTTTGTGTATCATAAGGCTTAACTCATTTAGGATTCGGGCAAAATTGAAAACATAATCAGAGAAAAGCAAAGATTGTCTGATTGTATTTTAGTTTTTTGTCTTGCACAAAATTTACCTAAACAAAAATCGGAAGGCAGAATAGCCGTCGTCGTCATCACCATCATTCCTTCTTCTGCCTCTTCCCTCGTTTCTCTGATTGCCTCGCTTTACCCGACCTTGTATCCTGTACGTTATTTATGAAACTGTGTTATGCATTGTTGGCCTTCGGGGTTACATCTCGACAATAGTATGGTGCTTAATACCTATTTTGATCTCTTCCTCTGTTTCCATTGCCCTTTGCCCTTTTTCTTCGATTTAGTTGGACTCTGTTAAGGTTATTGTGTTCGAAAGTAGTGAATAACAGAACAAAGGAGTTGGGAGTAAACCTATCTGCTCAATCGTAATATAATCTATATATATACCTTCATAGAAACTGTATTTGTATCATCATTATCATGATGAATCTCAACCTCGATCCGTCCCTCACTGTTGAGCATAACCTTAAGCCTCCCTTCTTTATACAATTTCTCAGACTGGGCATGTCGCTAGAAAGGGGACAAAAAACTAATGTCATCGACTACCTCAAGAGTGCATTAAGTTCAACCCCACAATAGCCACAATGAGCGTGATTATAAAAGATATTATATACTTGCCTTGGAGCTTAGATGAGCCTTTAGTGTCTCCTCGGACAAGCAGACAATCCTAGGGCAGAGCCTGCACTTGAAAACTGATTTGCATTTTACGACACAATCTTTCACATCGAAGGGGCTCTCATCTTTTTCGGGACCATGTGGTGCTTTGCCAAACACATTGTCGACTTCATCAGTAGCAAAAGCTCCAGCACCATTTTGAGCTCCAACATCATCATCACTTGAGGCCATACCTGCCAAATTATGCTATTTTTCGGATCAGGAAGATTTTAGAACTGTGAAAAACATTTGCATCACAAAATATGAGGCAATAGTTATACCATGCACCAATAGAGTGTTTCAAGGAAATAAAATTAAGAAATAGAACTTTGCAAAATCCATATATTATGTATCAGCTTATCCTCAAAATCGCTCTCTTGTTAGTTTTCAGATGTTCTATTAAATCCTAAAACCATTCCCGCACTAATCTTCTACATTCATGGAAATAAAAATGAAAGATGTTTCCCCTGATAATTGAGTGTCCACATTTGAATCGACTCGCAATTTAAACAAACTTTTGCAGTGTCGAGTACATTTAATATGAATTAATATGTATACATCTTCTGCAGCAAGTGATGGGAAAAGCACGTCTAAATTACAGTTAAGGTAGTAGTAGGTAGTCCAGCCTTACATATGTCAAGCTGATGAGTAACCAATGGCATGAATAAAAGACAAATTCCTAGTCACTATCGATGCCAAACAAAATGATAACAATGTATTATATGTTAAATCAACAAAGAAACCATGTTGCAAACGATATCATTAGGAGAAGGATGAATTCATTTACAATATCAATATTCATGTCAAAGAGAATGGTACTGCAGCATTACTTATCAAGAAGATCACTGAAGAACGCATTCCTTCTAGTGAAAGTTCAAATATTTATACATACTGTAAGGAGAACTATAGAAACTATACATTATTTGGTCCAATCAGAATTACATCAAAAATTAAAAAATGGAATTTGTTATGAACTTTCCCAAAAGCTGTAACAGAAACAAGAAGATGAGAACTGATTTAACCTGATGAATCAAGATTGACTTCATTTGCTGAACTATCCTCGCTCTCGTAACCTGAAGAAGCGAATACAAATAAAATAACCTTGGCAAAAACATAGGTTACATTATTAACAGTCTAGTTATCACAATCTAAGCTTTTAGAATATACCAAGAAAAATCAAAGAAAACAATCTAATCAAATAATATACCTACATCAAGTAACGTCCATGGAATTACTGGTGAAAGTGTTTTTCAACCAGAAGAATTGACAAATAAATAGATATATGATCACAATGATCAAGTATGCATAGCACAGATCATAAGAATGCTTCACAAACCAGAAGAAGAAGTTTCTCCCTTTCGCCTTACAACAGCATTTTCATTCTCCTCATCTCCCTCCTCCTCCTCCTCCTCTTCTTCTTCATATTCTGTTTCATCAGTGGCCTCTACCTCCACTTCAGAGTCAGATGAAGAAGATTCAGAGGGAGCATCATAATCACCATGTTCATACCTGTAGAACCTCCTCTTTATCACCTCTTTATTCTCAACTGAAAAGTATAAAAATGGAGTAAAATCAGCACTAAAGACTTGCTCAAAGTAATGTGAGTCAGGATGGAAAGGAATGTATATATAAATAGGGAAGGGTTACCGTGCTGGATTTGGAAAATCAACACTGTGCAGCACATGTAAAATATAGAAATGA